AAATGAATTGCTGTTCGTTAGTCTCGCTAAAACCCAAGAACCGATTTGGCTAATTTTCATCTTGAATTATTCGTGAAAGTCCAAAGAAGGTTTAAAAGGTGAAAAAAAAATGAAAATGCTCGGAATTATATAAAAACAAACAATTTTGTTTTTTCTTTGATGTGTCCCCCGTCGGACGGATTCCTTTTGTTTTTTTAAGTTTATTTTATACAAAAGTTTAGGTCTTTTATTTATCGATTGAGGCACTACGGAGTCTGCTGGGTCAGCTAGTGTTACATAAAAATATGACTACTTTTACGGTTTGCTCCTTCGTTTATTATTTTCATTAAATTATTTCTGACATTTCGAATCTGATGAAGCAGCGCGGATCCCAGCCCCCGACCGCGTTTAGTTTGGCACCCCAGCGTTGAGGGCCGGCACGACACGGTCGCGGATCTGAATGAATAATCTTAACTTAAATGTACGATGGAAACGTGTTTTATGCATGGCCGTAATTAAATTTTTTACATAATATGTTAAATAATTTCTGGAAGTGTTTCCGGCAACTGTTGATCAGCTAGCTTGTATGTGAATTAGATTCTAGCGATGCCATTGTTGTCAAAGTCGAATTTATAAAAAAATCAATTTTATAATACTTCTTCTTCTTATCAGCCCACAGACGTCTACTGCTGGACGGCTGGACATAGGCCTCCCCCAAGCGTCGCCACAAAGACCGGTCCTGCGCTGCCTGCATACTTATTACACACTTATTTAATTATATGAAAAAGTATAATGAACGAAATGACAAACATAGCCTGTCATTTTATTAATATGTATTTTTTGGGCCGTAAGCATGTCGAACCTAAACACGTTGAACGCCATGCGGCCCACAGGTGGGCCTAACGTAGTACCTTTCAAGCCAAGCCATAATCAGGGAATCAGTAATTTTTATCAAATTGACATGCTCATTCTAAAATTTATAAAATGCGATAATTTGCACGGAAGGTAAAAATTAGCGACTTACCGTCGAGTTTTTAAGATATTTTAAAAAGCTATAATCTTGATAAAAACTACAACTTTGTATTCGATTTGAAAACAAAGGGGTTCGGTTCGGCCACGCGGCTCACTTCCATACGCATTTTGTTTGATATCTTTTTTTTCCTACCTGAGAGCGTTGAAAGGCTATATCAGCGTAACCTTAACTAGTAGGTGAGCTCAGGGTACTCAAACCTGACGACGTTGCCACCGCGGACCCTAGCAAGAGCCGTGCTTCGCAGAATCTATCACTGGATCGGAAACGCGACCCACTGAGAAGAGTCGGAGTCCGACGAGAAATTCAGTGGGCTGTGTCTGAGGGTTAATTTACTCGTCGAGCCCTTCGTAAGCAAGTTTTGTAGTGTCACCTTATTTCTAAGTATGATAGCTGCAATCAGTGGCTTGTAGGAAGCGTTTACGTTGGACACCCACACGCGGCTCATGAGTGACCTTCATGGCCCTAACGGTTCAGTAAGACTAGGCTGACCGGTGAACACCGCGGCCTGAATGAAAATACTCGATTTTCCATATGGCGCTCAACGTCTTAACTAGTTTTTTAACAATTAATTATTGTAATTGTTTTTTTTTTGTTCCTACCTATACTGATAGCCTTGAGAGGCTATTTCAGCTTCGCTCTAACGTTTGTAGGTGAGCTCACGGGGCTCAAACCGGAGAGTTGCTAACACTGACCCTAGCAAGAGCAGTGCTTCGGAGAATCTACCACCGGTTTGGAAACGCGACCCACTGAGAAGTTCCAGCGAGAAACTCAGTGGGCTGTGTCTGTGGGTTAATTCGCTCGTCGAGCCCTTCGTCGCAAGCGACGGGTTCGACGAGGACGGTGACCGGTGCTTGTGGTGCCTAAAAGCACCGTTAATGGATCAGGAGGATCCGTAATGACGTACTTTGGGCGCCGTCGACGGTTTACCATTCGGTCTACTGGGTCGAGTATGTAGTTTCCAGCGGCCACGATGAGAGGGTTCTCATGTCGTGCCGCCTTCTCAAAATGGCGCAGCGATGCCGACTGTATATACTTTGTAATTGTCGTGTTCAGTTTTTTAAAGAACATTTAGTTTAATTATTGTTTCAATAGAACTAGATTGATTGGATGATACAGGAAATTGCTCGTCATTGTGTACGTATTTTAAAAAGGTGACTCGAACTGTTACTTAATCTCCTCCGATGACGCGACAATTTGATTTTTACAGTAGGATGTACCGAGAACAGTTTTTGTCATTAAAAAAAATTCATTCTTAATGGTTTTTTTTTTAACGCAATTTAACTATGTACTTTTTTCGACTATCACCATGAAGACTTTTAAGCTATGAGCGTTTTAAGAGGTAAAACAAAATAATCAGCTATCTACTATTATTATTTATAGAAGTTGAGATCCAAAACATGACGTGAGGCCAAAAATGATAGCCTAGCTTCCTAGGTTCTTAAATAGATATTAAGTATTTTTACTGGTATAATTAGATGAGATGAGTTCTCTTTTCAAAACTATACGGTTATAAGGGAGTAAAAAATAACTAAATAGATTTATACTTGTATCCGACTGTATTACTTACACACATTTAATTAGGCTAAGCTTACGTTTGATGAGAAACATATGCAAAATAATTATACAATATCGTCACCCTGCCTATTCGTTCTTATCGCAAAGCAGTGATCCCTTCCGGCGTGAAAAAGTTGACACTGCCGTTAATATGGAAATGAAACTGAGACCTGTATGCTTAGTGCGAGTTTTTTAACGTTCTCGGTAGCGTAAAAGTTAAGTCAAATTTATATGCAGCGGGAACAAACCTTAGCGGCAAACGTAGACATACGTTCCAACTCCATACAAATTTGAGTTAACTTTAACGCTATCGAGAACGTTAAAAACGTTCGTTTACCCGTCTATTAACAATAAGACTGCTCTTCTTCCTTGAATTATCTCAAAATTAATCCTGCATTTAAATAAGAAGATAATCAGAGTTCAGTCGTTAATTACGAAAGGAAGATTTTATGTTAAACAGTAGAAAAGAGAGTGGGAATCATAGCAAACTCAGTAAGTAGGTAATATTAACTCTTCAACGGACTCTTTAAAACTAAAATGATTTAAGTACTGTAACAAGAATGGAAGCACTTGTAGGTAATAAAAAAAATATAAGTACACAGGAATATATTCACCACTAAGTTTTATTTTCAACAATAAATTACATTACATGCACAAGTAAGTATAAGATGCAGATTCTAAATCTTAGAATATGCGATGATGAAAATGAACAATTTTCGGAAATTCTGCGTAAAATTATAAAACCCGGTGTGAAATTTACTTTACTTACGGTAACTATTTATATATTTACTATTTACGGTATTTATTTACTTAAAAATAGTACGAATTGTTAATTCAGATTGTAGTGGTTGAAAATTGAAAAGCTTGTTGTTTGAGACATTTTAGTCTTAAGACATCTCGAAACTATTTGAATGTGTGGTTCATAGAAACATCACATTGACCTACTACATAATATGATGACAACAGACCAGGAATACATTTTTTAATGGAATTGTGATTAAATTTATATTTTTAATTAATTAATTAAAACTACTTTTACGGTTTGATTTATAGAAATTAAAACAGCAGTAAATATAATACAATAATCAAATGTCGACTAATAAGGCTTCAGAGAGTTGTGACCACGAAACTGTAGTCTTTCGGAGAACGTTGGCGGTAACAAACGCGAGATCAAACTCTAATAGTAGTTCTAATGATTTTATTTTTAAATATTAATATAAATTATAACAGAATATCTTAAAAACAGCACACTGAAAATCAAGTTTTAAGAATTACTTAATAATGGCTTACTGATTTAAAATGAAATCCTATACAAATACACTTATGTAACTAAAGTATGAAAAAAATGCATAGCTTATGTTTTTTTACAATGAATGTTCGTCGTTGATCCATTTTGAATTTTTTGGAACAGAGTTCCTTAACGCACGTTTTGTTTGCGGGCTAAAAGACTAAGTAGACCGAAAAAGTGTATTAATGAAAAAGAGAGGCAAAAAACTGAAAACAAATATTTTATGTTTATAATAAGAATGTAAAAAATAATTATATACATACTTCCAATAAACAATACAATAGTGATCTATTTTCTATACTAATATTCGAAAAATGTATCTGCAATATTAATTTTATTCACATTTTTCGGTAGACAGTGGCTTGGCTCTCCCCCTAGCATTGCTAACGCCCATTAACAATGACACTCACCAATAGATGGGCCGTATGCTCGTCTGCCTATAGGGGCATATAAAAAATTAATTAATGATTCGTTTGATCATTTTATATTGATTCTTTATTTTTTATGTAATCATTACTTAATACAAACACAAAACAGATGTAGCAAAAGGAACTCCTTTTCAACCGGCTAACCTTTTTTTTTTATTGCTTAGATGGGTGGACGAGCTCACAGCCCACCCGGTTTTAAGTGGTTACTGGAGCCCATAGACATCTACAACGTAAATGCGCCACCCCCCTTGCTACTAGTTCTAAGGTATCAGTATAGTTACAACGGCTGCCCCACCCTTCAAACCGAAACGCATTGCTGCTTCACGGCAGAAATAGGCAGGGTTGTGGTACCTACCCGTGCGGACTCAGAAGAGGTCCTACCACCAGTCAAACCTTAAGACAAATCTCCCTTTTTTTCATTGTATGGTTTTATCCATTTATATATGACGTATTTATCCATCATTTTTTCAAATCCTAATATAACTTTCTGGGTAGTAGTAATTTTCTAAAATAATTTTCTAGGTTATAAGAAAAATTATACACACAGATTACAATTACATTAACAATGGTTTTTATAAATTTAACTTAATCTATTTCTTTAAAAATTAAAAAATTCTAACAATTTTATTCCTTACGAACAAAGTTGTGTACAAAATTCAGTGTTTCTTGAATTTATTTTCTACTTTTTTCTTATGGAATTTAAATGTTTTTTGAAATGTTTAAATTTTAAGAGTTTAAGAGTACGAGTTTAAAAAATTTTTGATCAAAGAACCATAGATGTTTCAGTATATCTTTGGTGACTGTATACACGTCATTTCGAATCCTCCTGAACCACTAATGGTGCTTTAAGGTACCTCAAGTACCAGTCAACTTCTCATCGAACCCGTCACTTACGATTCGTCGCCTTCGAGGTTCAGCGAATTAATTAACCCACAGACAGCCCACTGAGTTTCTCGCCATATCTTCTCAGTGGGTCGCGTTTCTAATCCATTGGTAGTTTCTGCGAAGCACTGCTCTTACTAGCGCTAGTGTTAGCAACATCCTCAGGTTAGACCCCCATGAGCTCACCTACTCCTTCGGTGACACTGGCATAGAACCCTTGGCTACCACCATAGGCAGAAAAAAAAATGACTACACAATTGCACTAAGATTTTTATATAAAATTGTAATGCGGAGTCACCTAGATAAAATGCTCATATAATGAATATAATCACAAAACTATAATTAAAAAACTGCATGCTAATTACATGTTCAGTGCTATTTTTTCTGTTGTCACAGATGTGGTCGGTGTCAAATTAAACATATGTAAATGTAAATAAATTAAGCAAGGTTAACCACAAGGACCTTGCTCTTTACCACAAACTATAAAAATTATTAGTCTGATTATTATTACATATTTTTAAAAGAACAACATTCTACAAATGATTTCTTAATAGTTCTAATTTTGTAATATGGTCATTGTCATATATCAATACAAATAATCTAATTTGTGGATGGCCTTTATTTAATGCAATTAGCTTTGATCAGCTTGGTAACATAGATGTTTATATTTTGATATGATTTTCATTTTCATAACATTTGCTAAATACTATAGCTTAATGATTAATTTCAAATAAATACATAAATAACTAAATTAATACAAGCCCTTTGCAGGGCAATTGATCTAATATACAGATTATAGTTACAATTTGATTCATTTCAATTTAATCTCGTCAAATGCTACTTTAACTTTGTCAAACACCTGATCAGGTTCTTCTTCAGCATTGATCCTGCGGACAAGACCTAATTTATCGTAATAGTTGATGATCGGCATTGTATCATTCAGATATGTGTTGAATCTTTTCTTTAAGCTCTCTACGTTGTCGTCGCTTCGTCCACTGCCTGCAGCGCCGCGTCTCAAGCATCTCTCGGTACATATCTCACGCGAACATTCGAAGAACAAAACGAAAAGTAGCTTGGTTTTGTCGGACATGACGCGCTCCCAGCCATCCATATTATCTTGATTACGCGGAAAGCCATCTATGAGGAAACGTTCTTTACCGGATTTCTGCATGGCCTTGTGTAATAAGGAGCAAGTAACCTCCACCGGAACTATCTCACCGTTACGAATCTTTTCTTCAATCATTTCTCCGTATTCTGAACCAGGTCTCTGGCGTTCTTCTCGGAGTAAATCGCCTGCACTCAAATGGACGTAATCATATTCTTTGGAAATCATTGAGCACTGTGTACCTTTGCCAGAGCCAGGAGCTCCCAACACGAAGACTACTTGAGGCACCATTTTGTTAATGTAGCGCGAACTCTGCCGCAACACGCTATTCAACATTAATCGACGGGACTAATTTAGATTGCGGATTTTCAAAAGCTTTTATAAAACATGCGCAAAGTCGCGACCTTGAATGTCTTTGACGTATTCTGAATACTTCATTTTTTATGATTTGTCAGCGTGACAATTGATTTCATTGGCAAAGGGAATATAGGTTTGAATAAAGACCAAGATGTATTTTAGGTAAAAGTCAAATGTAATGAAATACAATGAAAATAAATAAATTACTATGAGTAACCGGAGTGACTAAAGTGAGAATTGGTACTTACGTATTAACGCCACCGCGGCAAAAATTTTATGGTTAGCAAGTGTGGACAACTCGAAAAATATGAAAAAGCGAATCAGAGCACCCCACTTTCCACCTGGTCTTGTCTGTCCTACCCCTAGAGTGTATATAAAAACCGGAGGCGCGGAGGGAGAGCAGTCCTCGCCCGCTGTGACGAAGCACCGAAACAGTGCGAGGCGGACCGGCTGAGGCTGGTCGGCATAGGCGACCAACAAGCCGAAGCTGCGAAGCGGAGCACGAGTGACCGTGCTTCGGCACGCAAGGGCAGAAGGGCTGCTCTTCCCGCAGCGCCGAAGATAAGGCGGATTCAAACTTAAGCTCCCTTCTAGTTTGACTAAATAAGGCATTTTTAATTTTAATTTAAGTGGATATCTTCATAACCATGTGGTTCCGCGGGGTGGGAATGGTGCAGGGAGTAAACCCTAATACTTAGACCTTAGAACTATATCTCAAGATGGGTGACGCATTTGCGTTGTAGATGTCTATGGGGGCTCCAGTGACCACTTAACACCAGGTGGGCTGTGAGCTCGTCCACCCATCTAAGCAATAAAAAAAAAGCGAACGGTGTCAGCTCACGGGATCAACCTGAAAGAATTACTAACACTAACCCTTCCAAGATCAGTGCTTTGCTGAATCTATCACCGAATCGGAGGCGCGACCTAGTGAGAAGATCCGGCGAGAAACTCCGAAGAGAATGAACAGTGGATTGTGTCTGTGGTCTAGGTGCACCTCGAACCTTTCGTTGTATTGGACGAAAGATGTTTGGTACTCCGAAAAGCCTAATAGCACCGAATGGTTTTTTTTATTGCCCTTGTAGGCAGACGAGCATACGGCCCACCTGATGGTGAGTGGTTACCGTCGCCCATGGACTTCAGCAATGCCAGGGGCAGAGCCAAGCCGCTGCCTACCGCTTAATACTCTCCACAAGCCTCTTTTAAAAGAAGGACATGTCATAGCGCTCAGGAAACACCGTGGAGGGGAGCTCATTCCATAGCCGAATGGTACGTGGCAAAAAAGACCTCTGGAAACGCACTGTCGATGAACGCAGCGGTTCCAGATGATATGGATGAAGGATCGGAAGGATCAGACTAGACTTGTTTTGGTCTCAGCGGTGCTCATCCGTCCGGGTCAAATATGGACAGAGGCGACCACGATAAGAGTTATCGGGTATAGTGTCGCGCCGCTTCCTCGAAAAATCTTTTTTTCGGGCCAGGTGCTGATCCTCCTACGAAGTCTCCGCCCTAAGAGGTACGCGGGGTATGTAGGAGTGGTCCGTAACTGCATACCGCCGGCCCAAGGATATTTTTAGAGCCCTACCACACTAAAAGACCCCTCCACTCTCAGACCCGACGTCCGATCTCCGCCCGGGGTCAGAACCCGGTCATAGCAAGGGGTTTTCCGCGGTCAACACTACGACCAGACTCGCGGCGCCAACCAGAGGAAGACCGGCCAACGAAGCCTTCAGAGGTGAATCGATTTTTATGAGATTTTATCATCTGGCAAGATCCTAGTCTTTAGGTAGTCTTATTTTAATTTATATCTTAAAATGATAATATGAACTGAAATGATATGATATGGTATTTTATTACTGGTGATAATACCACTTGAGTCCACACGGGTAGGTACCGCCACCCTGCCTATTTCTGCCGTGAAGCAGTAATACGTTTCGGTTGTAGATGTCTATAGGCTCTGGTATCTACTTAACACCAAGTGGGCATCTAAGCAATAAAAAAAAGTATTAAGCAATTTCAGTAAAGTGGTGTTCATTTACCGAGACCTTTTCAGTAGACTTTTTGGAGGATACTGAGAAGTTACGTTCAGCGGCTTTGATTTTCCCACATTTGTAACTTTCAGATACTAAGCAATTCATAAACCACCGTTATTACACATTTAAACCTGAAAAAACACTAAATAGACAAAATAAAACAAATCACACAACTTCACTCCTCGCGTTCCCACCAAAAAGGTCAGGCGAATAAAGGTATTGAAACGCCGGCGGTTTTGGTACGAAAAAATTCATCCATCTCGGTAAAAATTCATTACCTACGTGGGTTTTAATGATTTTTAAAAAGTGAATTGTTTAAAAGCCTACTACTAAATAGTAAGATCGTAATTTAGAAATATTCAGTCTTTTCTGTATAAATACCTAGGATGCATTCCTTTGACAGATAGGTAGGTAGGTACCTAGTTATTTTCAATATCCATGAGCAACAGTTACCTGCCACACAGTATTGTCGACCTATCTTCGAAAGCTCTAGAAATCCTTAAAGCGCAGTCTACGAAAGAGCCGGTTTGAGAAGCCACGGAGCGATACCAGCTTGTTACTTGCTGCAGTGCCGGGACAATTAAAAAAAAAAGAAATGCTTTTAAAATGTTTTTTATTTAACTTCCAGTACATTTAAGATTGTTTTATTAACGGTGATTAACCTGAAACAAGAGAAAACAATTTGAGATTTTGTTTTCGTTCAAAGTGACAATTTTACTCAATCGTCAATTTCAGAATTTTAATTTTAATTATCCTCACAACAATTCAGAACAGGTCTGTGATTATTCTCATCATTAACAATTTATTTCTTTTAATTAAATTCGACTACATTATAATTAACGTTCTTACCTAAAAATGACACTATACGAAGACAGACTCTGGTCTCTTCAAATAAAGAACTCTGCAAAAAAGGAAACTTTATTAGATGGTGAAATTCAAAATTTCTAACTCTTGTAAAAAAATCTTTATTCAGTCCTGTTGAGCTTATAAAAACCGTCACGGTGACATTAAGGCGTAGTTTTATCATCATCGACTCGAACGAAACACTAGATTTGTGTGCTTAGTGCGGATCGCAACGCTCTCTATAGCGTAAAAGTTAACTTAAATTTGTAGGTATGCAGTTAGAAAGATTGGAAACTAAAAGACTGCTAAGACTACTAGCACTATTAGCATACGTGCCCCTGGCATTGGTGGAGTTAATCGACGACGGTGCAAACTCACTATCACGGAAACCCATGTCTATTTCTGATAGGGTAACAACATTTACCTTGTTTAAACTTTCAAATAGGTAGTTGGCTAATTGGCTTTCAGTCTATGTACAATGTAATTAGGAGTGAATTACCTTATTTTGGTGCTCTTGAAAGATTGGACATCCATTGGAGTCTGTAAAAAAAAAAATTATATTTAATAACATCATGTTGCTTTTTATTAGTCTGTTAGAAGTGCAATAAATTTCAGTCCTGTTGAGCTTGTAAATAACTCTCACAATGGCATCAAGTTAAGTTTTATCATCATAATAGTATTTTCGTCAATGTAACTCCTTTTATAAGTAAATATATATAAATTTATGAACTTCTATTTACCTTTTCAGTGCCATGTGGATATGATGTTTAAATGGCAAACTGAAACAAAAAATTAAATTCAATTAGTATTTTTGTTTACACACATACAATTTGCTTAAAATTTATAAAAATCAGCAATATAAATTCGTTTTCCACACAAAAATTCAGAACAGGTCTGTGAAAAATTTTCATCATAGAAATTATTTTGAAACTAACTTCAAAAATGGAATTAAAAAAAACACAGTTAACATTCCTATATGTGACAAATTATTAATTGTTTAAATTTCAAAAAAGCAACAATTGGACAATTTTAAAAATTAAATTGCCTGCCATGTAATAGTAATTGAAATAAAATTAAAGTTCATAAAATGCACTAGTGGAATTCTCGGTTGAATCTTTTTTGAAATTTTACAATTATTTTAGTGATTTAATAACACGTCCTTTTTGGAAGGTCTTAACTCTGTTTCTTTGAATAGCACCGTGCAATGGGTGTTCACAAAATAATATTGGATATTATGATTTACTACTACTATATGGGTGTTTACTAAATTAGGTACAATAAAGCAAACAGAAGGAATAAAGTTCTGAACTTACTTTTCTCATTTTCGTTTTGCCTTTAATCTCCGAAATCCTGTATTAGAAACAATAGAATATTAATATTTAGGAAATATACATTATATTAAAAAATACCATTTCTGTCAATATTTAAATGAAATGTCATTTGAATTTTGCCTGACGCCAATCTTATAATCAAATTAAATTTATCACTGTAATGATTTTTTAAGTATAAAAAAACATAGCTTACTATTAAAATAGTAAATCAAATTCAATTTTGGGCATATCATGATTACCATTCTAGATCCGTGCCACTTAAGTTAGCAGTTTTGAACTTATCAATAAAAAACAATATTTATTGACAGAAATGGTACAAAATTATATAAACTTACCTCATCTCCAGTAACCGAATTAACAGTCAAATAGATCAAATATAAAAAGAATTTTACAATAGAAAAAAAATATAATTTAAAATAATAATTACAGTACAAGTAGATCATGTGCATCTACATAACAATGTCATACCAAAAAAACGATATAGTTTGGTTTATAATTTATTTAGTTGAATGTGACATATTTAGCTGTTGTCTCACTTGCGCGTCTGCTTTAATATGATGCGGAACATGTGTTGTTGAAAATAAACATGCGTGAAGCGCTTTCCGTATAGATACGTTTTTTTAATTTGCTTTAACTATGTAGTTTACAATTTGTCCAAATATTGAGTTAAGTCTGGGAGACCTTCCTTCAATCCTTTCCTCTTTCTCGTTTCCTGTAACAAACAATACTTGGTTGATAGATATTCTATTATATATTCTCTACTTGTATATATTTATTTAGATCAAACTGAATTTTGACTATATCAGTCACACCATAACATGCAGTTCTTAGACATAAAGAAAAGGTCCATGTCTGGCAGTTTTTAAGAGTTATGAAGATTTTAAACACAAATTCACAAAAATAAGACAACACTAACAATTGCTCAACAGTCATAAATGCAGTTTTTGTAATGTAAATGTTTATAAGTTGTGAATAACATTTACCTGTACAACGTTGTAGGGCTTGCTCTGAGGTTCGCACGGGTCTCCAGGGAGGACCTGCCAATGGTCGAATACGCACTGCGGGAAGGCCTGTCCGCCGGTGTTGGAACGCAAATCAGCAGTAAAACCGAACGACTCATTGACAGGTAGGTAGGCCTTCACAATGAACATAGGTGTACCTGCCACCTGGGACTCTTCGAAAACGTGACCACGACGTCTGTTCAGCACACCGTAGATACCACCCACAGCTACTTCAGGACACTGCAAACAGAATGGGTTGTATCATTTTTAGACTCAATAAAATAGTTATCATAGCAAAGTCAAAGGATCTAAGTCAATACTAGAATTTGTTACAATTTTAATGTCAAATGTCAGATCCCCTATTCAGGCACTGTGAACTTGAAACCAACAACACCAAAACAAAGAACTATTACTCTACCACGTTACGGAAAGGCGGATTCGCTGTTGAAAACACAACCCGCTTAGGATATGACGTGGAAATTGTTCATAGACACGAAATTATNGCAAAGTCAAAGGATCTAAGTCAATACTAGAATTTGTTACAATTTTAATGTCAAATGTCAGATCCCCTATTCAGGCACTGTGAACTTGAAACCAACAACACCAAAACAAAGAACTATTACTCTACCACGTTACGGAAAGGCGGATTCGCTGTTGAAAACACAACCCGCTTAGGATATGACGTGGAAATTGTTCATAGACACGAAATTATCTTTTGAAACATACCTGAATTTCACAAAGATATACAGGCTCCATGAGACGGGGCTGAGCAGTTAGCAGACATGCGTACAAGCATCTTCTAGTTGTTGGAATGATTTGGCCACCACCTCTGCAAATTTCATAAATTATTATTATTAATTGTTTAACAACAAAGTGAAAAAATATTGATACGAAACTCTTATCTTGCATTATATAATCAGTATATTAAAAATTGTTATCTTATCTACCTCTATATCATAAATATTTTGTTTTATCAAGAAATTACACCCACCCCCCTTAAGAATTTAATTAATTTATATGTTAAGCTACCTATGGATGGCATCAGTATGGAGTGTTACATCATAGATGTTGAATCTAACACCACGCAAATTCTCTTCAGCCATAACTCCTTCCTTAGCGGCCCACTGGAATCCAGCCACAACAGAGTCCTTAATTTCATTGAGGTACTGAACTCCTTTGGAGCAATCCACCAGGATGTTGGGGCCGGTACCCTCGGGGCCAAAGCACCAAATCTTACGGGCTTCGGTAACATCGTATTCGTACTTTTCTGTAAGATACCGAGCGCGAGTCTTGAAGTCATCGCGGGGATTTACGCGACCCTGAATAAGAAATAGAACATAATTATTGTATTAAAACCAAATAATATTGTTTTTCTTCATTTGGCTCTTCTATTGTAGAATTTTTAATAGATTGTCACTATACTTAAATTTTCTCAACCAAATGCTCAAAAAATTACTAACCTCATCAATGTCCTCTGGCAGACCATCAGGCATGGGCTGAGCCTTCATGAACAGACGGTTGTGCTTGTTGGGCGACTTTGAAAGACAGAGCTGGTCCGATTCCTCAGCTACGGTCTCACGGTACGACACGACAGGGTCAGACTTCTTGATTGGAATGCAAGCATGGTCCTCCTCAAGATCCTGTAAAACATTTGCTTCAATGTATCATATATTTTATAAATCAGAACCAGAACTTTTAAATTTGGAAAATATCTTCAAATACATTATATGAGAGCAATGAGTGTGTAATCAAATCTAAGACATTTTTCATCTTTGATATCCTAATTTATTAGACTTTTTAAAATTTTATTACCTTAAGACAGATCTCAAGATGGAGTTCTCCAGCACCAGCGACAATGTGTTCTCCTGATTCTTCATTAATACACTGCACCATGGGGTCAGATTTAGCCAGACGTTTAAGACCTTCTACTAGCTTGGGCAGATCAGCAGGGTTTTTGGGCTCAACAGCGACACGCACGACTGGTGATACACTGAATTTCATCACCTATAAAAAAACAGATTTAGAATAATCTAAAAGACTAAAATTGAACAATTCATATAACTTCAAATCTATGTATGTACAAATAGCGTTGGATGGTTTTGTTTACTTATCTATCTATACTTATATATTATACTATGAAGACGTATTATATATAATTGATAACAAAATTAATGTTCCAAACCTTCATGTTGTGGGCATTCTTGAAAGTGGTGATGGTACCAGTCTTGACTAAGAACTGATCGACTCCAACGAGACCACAGATGTTACCAGAGGGCACATCCTCAATAGCTTCAACATAACGTCCCATCATAAGGATTGTACGCTGGATAGTCTTCTCGTACAAGTCCTGTGCAAAAGATTAACAAGATTGAGAAAATTAAGTTCAATGGTTCAATTGACTTTATTTTGTATTGTAAAAATTGTATCATTAGTGCCGTAGCATACAGTCCTTGGACATAAAGATAGAGGTCCTATGTAGCGTTTAGACACTTTTGATTTATTTCTCTACTTCCACCGTCCGCCAACACTCTCATTGTGCAAATACAAATACATGTATTCGTACTATAGTGCGGCACGTTTAGGCAGAAGCATAGGTGACTGACTAAATGTTCATTATTTAAAAGGTATATGGTTCTTTGTTTCGAAATATACATACCTCTTTCTTTCCAGGTGTAAAGTTTGGTCCCATGATGCGAGCTTTTTGTCCGGTAACAACCTTGCCAGAGAAAACGCGTCCAAAGGCGTAGAAACGACCTTTGTCGGAGGTCGGCACCATCTTGCTCACGTACATCATCAGTGGGGCTTCAGGATCACAGCTCTGTTGCAAAGAAAATGGTGATTATCTAACAGTATCCTTTTTTGATGAAAATAAAATTTTAGCATAATAAAAATCAAATTCAGAAAACTTGAATTATATCTTACCTTGATACCAATGGCAGCTTCATCATCGTGGGGTCCCTCGTATAACATCTCCATACGATATTTCTGGGCCACTACAGGTGATGGTAAATGAATGGCAATCATCTGAAGCAGAGCTTCACCAGCAGGCAACCAAGAGCGCATCACAACCTACAATATAAATACGAAGATAGTAATACATACATTTAAAAAAAAAAAATGCTTGTTTCTAAAAATGACTTTACTTATGTAAGCTAATTGTGTTATGCACTTATTTGGCGAAAATAAAATGTTTAAAATTGTTGTTTCTTTCTGTCATGGGGTCACAAGTTAATGTAACTAGCAACCAATTCCTGAAAGAATTATAATGTCAGTCCACTTTGACACCCAGAAGCTGATACACATAGCAACTGGCAACACTTGGGACTAAGCTGTATTTATTTTACAATTACAAAACAATATGATATCTATTACATCAAGATGTATCAAATATGTTTGTCAACAGTTGGATGCATTACCTTCAGCAAAGCTTTGCCATCTTTGTCAGAATCCTCATGCTTGATTGTGACTCCAATCTTCTTAAGGAGATCATCAATCTCCTCTTTCTTAAATTTCATGATGGCATCGAACACCTTGTAGATAGGATCCAAAACGTACATGCAAAATGAACGTTTGTTGTCATCATCCTTTTGTTTTGACCACTTCTTCGTTTGAGGGTTGAAAAAGTTTTCTCCCCATAACCTATTTAAATTTGTCTATTATTATTTGTATAATCATGCTTGAATAAGAATCCTCTTTATTAGGACTTTCCAGTCGATATTTTATTTTACAAAATTTATAGTGGAATTTGTTTAGAGCAGAAGCACTGACATGACTACATTGACTGATCATTAAATTTTTGGATTAACTTTCGTATTCTGATAATTTTAACAATAATAATTATTTGTGTGTCTCAACTCTCGTCGCATAATAGTTCATTTAGAACAATATACCAATTTATGTGGAGAGTTTGATGTTTGTCCCGGTCTGCCGCTGGTGTATAGTATCAAATACAGTACCCAGTATCAATGGGACAATATCATACTAATAATAACAAGTATTATACTAGTTTAGGTATAAGTTTAATTATTTTCGGTATGTAAATTAATAAATTTTATTAAACATTTATTTGTTCTACATTAAAAACAACTGCCCTTTAGGTTTGAAAGTTCTTCTTTGCAGAAGATTTTCTGGAAAATATTGCTGTTCTAAGCAGCAGGTGCTGATACTTGTAAGATCGTTTATTGTTATTTTAAAGATTTACAGCTCTTTATTTCATTATTTTTTTATTGCAAAGATGTGTCGACATTGTGATTCGAATTTACGGTTTGTTTTAGTAATAAATTGGATTCAAAGCATATGATTTGTTTTAAAAAAATGATAGGTCTCTGTCAAAACATTAAAATTGTTATATTTTGTTGTTACATAATAATATAACTTAAAAAACAGCATGCAGAAGTTTGTGAACTTTACTTGAAATAGTTGAAAAGTGGAATTACATTTCCAAATTACATAAATATTGCAATGCAGTAGTTGTGCTTGGATGATGACGTCATCCGCCTTCAACTACGTCACAGTGTTAGCTGCTTTCTTGCAAGTTTTATTTGACAACAGATTAAGGACCCTTAGCATTCAATTAATAGGAAAAAATCCAAATTACCATCTCGACTTCCAGAATCATTATGAAATCAAATAAAAAAAAATTATTCAACATAAATGAAAGTACATACTTGATGAATGTCAAAAGAACTACCGCCAATTCACAAAAACTAGCCTCTGTCCTGAGAAGAATTGGCAAGAAACTCAGCAGGCATTTGTTGTATTACATACACCCAGTTTATGATTGTCAGTACAATGATATTTTTACTTAAGTAAAACCTCACCTGTTCATAAGCTTGACAAGGTCAATCTTGAATTTGTCAGCATACATCTCAGAGAATTGTTTGAGGGTAAAAGCCCACCCATGAAGACCAGACCCGAAACCAACAGAGCCCTTGCTAGGGTCGACACGCACCTCACCTGATTTAGACAAAATGCATTTTAATTTTATATTCCCATTCTTGATGCAGAGCTTTTGTGAATTTTGGCTTGGCTATCCTGGTTTGCAAATTTGAGTATACTTGAGATACAATTAGGTGGGATCTGTCTTTCAAACGCAACAAGAATATTGTTGAAGAAAACTTTTTAAATATTTTTTAATGCATTGATAGGACCCATCTGGTGTTAAATCCACCAGGCAAAGACATCAAATTGTGAATGCGTTTGTGTGTCATTGAAAAACTTTCGAGACATGAAGTCAAAGTTTCAATGGCATTATATAATGAAGTCCCTGGTGGAAAAGTTTACAAACCCAAAGACGATTCATTAAATAGGGTCTATATGCACATATGTAAGCTTACAATACACATCCTATCATCCATATTTATGCAAAATGTATTACTTCACAGGTTTATTTTTATTACTTTATGATCCCTCTTATTGTGGAATCTGATAGTGCATGCTATATATATGTATTTGCTTTGAAATTACCCACCTTTTGGAACATCAACATAATAGCCTGATAAGACACTGCTTTTAAAGCTCATAACTTTCTTTAAATGCCATTCATTATGGATTCACATCTGTCAGTATATTTTTGATTGAGTTTAATTCTAGTTATTATTTATAAACTTCAACTTATTAATTTATAATTTTGGATTGCAAATAAAATATAATTTTTATAACCTACTTCTATGCACAAATGCATTGTTTCTATAATTCTAATAAAATGAAAAAGTGAAATGTAAGTTTAATGGCTACATAATATAAATCGTAGAGATAACAGATGCGTCCGTTTATGACCTTGATGGCTACACGCTAGCGTCTATCGCGCGTCTTGTCACGTGTCCAAAACATGATATCAAAAGATTCAATGTTGTCCAACAAAAGTTGTGACCATCAACCGTTTGTTATTTAAAATTTATAGAAACTCCCGAAAATGCCAGAACAAACTCAAGGAAACTGTACAGAATCTTGTGATTATTGCAGATAATTTTATAGGAAGTTATTATTTTAAATACTCACCCATGGGACCACCATCATCGTTATATGTGGCTATAATGACGTTAACATTTTCTACAATACGCTGGAACGTCTGGTATAGTTCTTCAGCTTCAAGTTGGAGCTCAAGAAGAGCACGGTCCATTTTGTTCATGAACAGAATAGGCTTGATGCGCTCGGCAATAGCCTGACGCAGTACTGTTTCGGTTTGTACACACACACCTGGTTTACACAAAATTAAATTTCATTATAATATTTTTATTACATTGCTAAGTTTTTTTGTTAGTCTCGGCAAAACTGACTAGACAAATTTTGATGCAACTTTTTGAGCTTTACAGCTTACAACGAGTGCAATGCCCTTTTTGAGTAGAATAATTTATGTTAATTGTAAACTGAGCTTCCTGAGTTTCTGACGACTATATCTATTAAATCAGATTTTTCAAGCATTTCACCCTACCTTGAAAGGTAGCTCTAAGTAATTTCATATTTAGTCATATTCAAATCTTAATGGAAATAGCATAAAGGACTCCTTTATTACTGGTCATTAACAAATCAATGAGAAAGAATTAAATAAGATATTTTTATTAAAAATTAATATTCAACTTACCAGACACACAGTCAACAACCACAAGGGCTCCATCAGTGACACGGAGTGCAGCTGTTACTTCAGAAGAGAAATCAACGTGTCCAGGTGAGTCAATCAAGTTGATCAAGAAACCTTTCTCGCTCTTTTCACGCTGGTCGGGGTTTGTGATGAATACTAAATCTTTCTCTTCGAGCTCGAAGAACATAGAGATGGCCCTGGTAATAAATTCGTGATATTAAACTCATGGTACTTTTTAATATTCCCAAATTTAGTTTTTTATGATTCATCAGATGGCCGTTCTAAAAGATCTTCAATATTCATATCAGTCTTTTAATGGTAAAGAACATTCATCATTTAGATCAGAGAATTTTCAGTAAACTTGCTATTAAATTAAATCCAAGTGTTGAACAAAACATTACTAATGTATTATTATTTGTCTTTTCCTTAAACATGATTAGTTGGGAAAATGTTACTTAATTACTACATATTATTACAATTTTATGAAATTTAATCACTTTTCCAACCCCAAAGTAAGAAAATCACTGACCTGATTCTATCGTGGTGTATTTCATGTGATAATTAAAATCATTCTAACTTAACCTAACAGTGTGGTCTAACTTTATCGGTTTACTTTGCAAATTTCGTAAATAAAAACCATTTCTGAGAAATCTTTTTCTACACATCAGCTACTATAAAAGCACGTTAAATGTTATTTAAAACGACGCAGCTGGTACACTCATGTGGTCTTTTGCATTAAAGCAATAATAATTTGTTTATAACGAGATTTTTCGTTAACTTAACCTCATAAAAGTTCAAGGGCAATGACGTTCGGTGCACCATGTGGCAATATGTATTTTTGAAGCTACTTACGTAGATTTAATGGTGATGCAACGGTCTTGTTCGTCCTTACGCGTGTCAGTGAAACGGGTCTCTCCGGCTCTCGCACCAGCAATGATACCGGCCTTGGAAACCAACGAGTCCGTGAGGGTTGACTTGCCGTGATCGACGTGGGCGATCACAGACATGTTGCGGATATTCCGCTTCTTGTCCATCATCCCACGGATCTCGTCTACCGTGAAATTCACCTGCACATACGAAATAATAGCTCATCATGCTGACACAACACAGATGTTAGATTTTAGACATTTAGCACTTAGATTCACGATATTGTAAAGGTTTAGTTTTATTATGTTGTTTAATATTTAATTATATTTGAGATGAGTGATTGTTGAAGTCTCGGTACGAACACTTTGAGCACCACATCACTTGAAAACGTCATCCAATTCACAAAGACCTGACCCGAACAAAGCAGAACTTTTACAGTAACTATTCCGTCAAATTAATAAAATATGCACGTGAAACGTATGAAAACATTCACCGGGATACTTTACTGGTCACTAAAACTGATTTCCTTACTCACCATTTTAGATGGTTTATGATTTTTGTTCTATTAAACCAACTACCATACGCCAGCAATGGCGTACGCTTTGAAAAAGGACCCTTGCGAGGGCCGGATGTCGCAGGTCGACGTCAAATAAAAAGAGTCATAGACAACATATAATGCTGCCAGACCACTGAAGTATGAAACGCTTACTCCGAGATGTCAACACGAGTGATTGAGCATTAGTCGATTTTCAAGATTGTCNTGATTTTTGTTCTATTAAACCAACTACCATACGCCAGCAATGGCGTACGCTTTGAAAAAGGACCCTTGCGAGGGCCGGATGTCGCAGGTCGACGTCAAATAAAAAGAGTCATAGACAACATATAATGCTGCCAGACCACTGAAGTATGAAACGCTTACTCCGAGATGTCAACACGAGTGATTGAGCATTAGTCGATTTTCAAGATTGTCGGTTAGTAATCTTTTTGAATACTATGACGCGTAAGAGATTTGGCTGAATAACAATTTGTTTAGTGTTTTGTGGCCTAACTTGATCTTCTGAATTCAAGCTGATTGAATTGAGACTATAATCAATTGATAGAATATTCAATCAAACTATGTAGATGGAAATGATGTGAAATAAAATATCAGTAAAATGGTTATTAGATTATCGTTATCATAATCAAGTTTTGATCCTTCTTATTTTGACATGAAAGACCTTTTTTAAAAACCCGACCGCCTTCATAATAACTGCTTTTGATTTATTTTAAATCTCCGCAAGGATGACCACGTCTGTACTTAACGCTTAAAAATAAATTTTCTCGCTTTACGTCAGCGATATTGACGTGCATGCACGGTAGGTACGGTACCTTAAAAATTTACATTTTTCGCATAATATATTCTGCGTTCTTCTAATCTACTACTTGACTGTCCCACGTACATCTATAATTTGAATTTTACTTCCTCCCAATGTCAGGATGATCACTGATCACGTACCTATCTCTCAAATGAAGGGTTCGGCAACTTTTGCTAAATGAACTGACATGATTAAGTAGACTTACATTTTTATAATGTTTTGGAATTTTCAGTACAAAATACTTTGTATAATTTTTATGTCTGATAAATCTATATATATAAAAATGAATTGCTGCTCGTAAGTCTCGCGAAAACTCGAGAACGGCCGGTCCGATTTGTCTAATTTTGGTCTTGAATTATTTGTGGAAGTCCGGAGAAGGTTTAAAAGGTAAATAAATATGAAGATGTTCGGAATTAAATGAAAAAAAAAACAATAATGTTTTTCTTTTGATGTGACCCCCATCGGACGGATTCCTTTTGTCTTTTATTTATCGATTGAGGCACTACGAAGTCTGCCGGGTCAGCTTGTATATAATAAATATGCTTGTGAATATATGTGGAATGTATAGATGTATTTAAGTAGTGCTGTATGACCTGTGTATGTATGCGTTCTATATTTTATGAATTAGGTGGTAAAGTAGATAATTTACGAATATGCACCGAAATTGTTGAATATGGTTTCCATGACTCGACTAAAAAGTTCAATAAGCTATCAGTAAATTTCCACATTTTTTTAAAAAATATTCATTTTTCTTGTTTATTTCTTATTCATTTCATTTTTTATTAAACTTTTCATAGCACACGCCCCACTTTTATTACAAAAGATTTGGTTGTAAGGATGTCCCTTTGCCTGTCGCGTTTGACTGCTTTTTAGTAATTTAAACACCTCCCCATCAGCTGGGGCAGTCTACAAAAGTCTGCTATTATCATGTAAAATAATTTGACTTGATTGGCTTATTGGTGTCATTTTCAGGTAGATTACATCTTCACAATTTATTTAACCCATTTTTTTAATTAAGCCTAAATGAGCGCCACCTATTGTCTAGTAGAATGTCTCACATTGACTCGTTGTTGATAGATGTCGCTACACTCCAAAATTATCACATTTTGATTAAAACACTCAGTTTAATCATGTATTTAATATTTGAGATGCTAGATGATTTTTATACTTTTCGATGTAATTTTTTATTGCAAATATAATTAAAAAAATTGCTAACAATTAAGGAAAAACTACAATGAACATAAGCATTTAATTGTGTTTTGTTATTACATATTAATTTGAATTTTACTGTCTGGTCTTCACTGGAATTCAGAATGAGGGCAAATTTAGAGGGTTGGGTTGGGGAGTATTTTGATTGCTATCGATAAGGGTGGCAAATGTAAGAATAGGGCTTGTACAAATTGTATGTTTTTCCTGTTGCAATAAAATTAGTCCCGTTTTAGGTAATCTAATGAGTGGATATTCGCTACTCGCTTTAGTGAGCACTCCATTGTTTCGTGTTAATACACGAATAGATAGTTCTAAACATAACATTAGTACCTTTCTTTTATTACATATAAATCTATATATATAAAAATGAATTGCTGTTCGTTAGTCTCGCTAAAACTCGAGAACGGCTAGACCAATTTGGCTAATTTTGGTCTTGAATGATTTGTAAAAGTCCAGAGATGGTTTAAAAGGTAGATAAATATCAAAATTCCTTTTGTTTGTTTTAAGTTTATTTTATACTAAAGTGTAGATCTTTTATTTATCGATTGAGGCACTACGAAGTCTGCCGGGTCAGCTAATAAATATATATAAAATCTCTTACTAAGTGTGATTCTAATAAATGACAAAAAATATAGATGGTATGTAGTACTCGGTTTTATTGTTAAAAACAGAGAAAGTTAAAACGCATATACGTTAATAATTCATTATAAAAGCCCGAAATTAGAAATTAACGAAATAATTATATAATTAAATTATTCGTTTCTCAACCACATACTGAACAAAACATTCAAAGCAGCTTACAAACGATGCTTAATATCAACATAAATGTATTTTAGATAAGTGTATGTATGTACATAAATGTTTTTTAGAATTTAATGTATTAGACAAAATACCGATTGCCTATACGATCGAAATTCGACGGTAGTTTTTAATTTCTTAAATGGTTGGACGAGCCCACGACCCACCTAGTGTTAAGTGGTCGGCGAACTTATTAGCCAAAGGGATAAAGACGCAAATTAAAACGATTTAAAAAAATTGAGAGCGAAATCTGTTTGTAAATGTAGTAAATTTTATCAATATAGATATTGTTTGTGTTAACATTTCATTTATAATAATGCATAAGAATGATATAATATTAAAAAGGTTTTTTTTTTAAATAATTATTTTTTTTACAATAAATTATTATTGCAAATCATAAAATAAATTATATATCATATATTGCTTCGATTAGGTAATATATTATAATAATCGACATCAGTCAGGGGTACATACTATTAACCGGTTTTTTCGTCCATAGCCGGATAATATTAGAGGCCGGGTAAGCCCGTAGGATATTTGTGCCAGACCCACTCTCAAGAGGTCAAAGAGCCGCACTTTGCCGACTTCTGTGTTAAGTGATTAACCATCGACATTAAAAACGTAAATGCCGCCACTCATATTGAGGCGTGAATCTAAATCTCAGTTGTTTACAGTACAACGGCTGCCCCACACTTCAAATCGAAACGCATTACTGCTTCACGGCAGAAATAGGCGAGGTGGTGGTACCTACCCGTGCGGATTCACAAGAGGTCCTACCATCAGTAATTACGCAAATTATAATTTTGCGGGTTTGATTTTTATTACACGATGTTATTCCTTCACCTTGGAAGTCAATTGTGAACATTTCCTGAGTTCGTATTTCATTAGAAAAATTGGTACCCGCCTGGGATTCGAACACGTCTTATCCTGTAGGCCACGACAATGTTACATATGTAGCTATACAACACATATATTATGTGGCCCCGGCTATCTTGCCATACCACTAATTTCACTTCATCATTGACCTCCGAATTTCTCCACTTACCGTTAGTACCACAATACTGTCATATTTTGTCGAGAAGAAATCATGCACTCGATTCGGATAGGGCGATACACATGTATACTATAATCTGGTGAATATATTGATTTTAATTTTTGCGCCAGTAAAGTTTGTATCGGTCAACCCTGAATGTTATCTGAGGGGTGAGCTCAAGGTCATGGGCATTATTGACTTCCTTCACATAACGTTTTGTTATTACAAGATACGTATTACTAAATATTGTAGAAAGATTTTCTGTTTTTTTTTTTATATGTGTACTTTATATATAAATAATTTAAATAGAAATACATACTTTAAATATCAGTGAAGCAAGTACTTTGTTAATTGAATTATGGAATTTTAACATAGCATTTTCATATTTGCAATTGGAAATTACTAATTGTTGTTCTATTCAGATTTCCATCTCGAGTTTCTCGGCGATCTTCTCAGTGGTTCGGAATTCCAATCCGGGGGTAAATTCTGCAAAGCACTACTACCCTTGCTTGCCTTACCCTAGTGTTACCAAATTAATTCGCTAATGTTCTGAATTGACGAACTCTTTGTATTATATAAATAAAATAAATAAATTTCGTATGAAAGATGATATTTAATTAAAATACACGTCGTTTTTCATATTTCAAAGTTCACAGCCACAGTTAAAATGTCTCAGTTAAGTTTCTAGCTCGTATTAAAACACAATCTATATATTAATACGTGAAGCAAAAATTTTGTGTCCCTTTTTACGAAAATTGTGCGGGCGGAGGAGTATGAAATTTTCCACACTTATAGAGAATATAGAGAAGAAGTGCACAATGCTAATTTTTTTTTTTTAAATAATGCATAAAAGATACATTAAATCAATAAAGAAAACATTACACACACTACATACCATGTATTTGATGCACACACGTATGCATACTATTTATTGTGAAACTTTTGTTCTTGGCGTGTTTTGTCAAATTGAGAATAGATTAATATTGTTTGTCTTTGTTAATATTTTTTATAGTGGCGAAATTTGTAATTATAGAAGTATAAAATACAATCACAATAGTGTACAAACTTACAATTCCAATTAATTATAGTCGAATTTCGACTACTGCGTGACCTCTAGTTCACATTAAAATCCAAAAGATATGTAGACTCAATCATTTCGGCTCACTGTTTCACTAACTTCATATGTCTATAGTGACATTTATCTACATAGTGGTGGTAGGACGTCTTGTGAGTCCGCACGGGTAGGTACCACCACCCTGCCTATTTC